TACTACTACTACTACTACTACCACTACTACTACTACTACTACTACTACTACTACTACTACTACTACTACAATACTACTACTACTACTACTACTACTACAATACTACTACTACTACTACTACTACTACTACTACTACTACTACTACTACTACTACTACTACTACTACGACTACTACTACTACTACTACTACTACTACTACTACTATTACTACTACTACTACTACTACGACGACTACTACTACTACTACCATTACTACTATTACCACCACTACTACTACGACATCTACGGCGACGACCACGAATAATAAGAATAATGATACGGCGAAGTACTACGACGACAACTACAACTACGGCACAACTTGCACACATAATTACTAAAGCAATTGCTCCGCGTCCTACAGAGCGGCAGTTAAAACTGCTGCTGTTGTTGCGGTTGTTGCCGCTGCTTTTCCTACTTACTTATGCTGCGACTGGCGTTTCTGCTGCCACTCCCACTGGAACTGTCACTGCGCCGAACTGTTATGTCTCCTTGCATCCATCCACAAATGGTACTCCTGTTTCGTGGGAGACGTATGGCTCTAGTGATTGGACTCCGGCAAAAAGGCGGGACCTCGTGTGAACCTTGGAGCGCTCTGCCGCTGCAGACATGTCACTGATCATTGCACCGGGCTCGCACATGTGCGAAGTGAATTTCGCATGGGTTCTTTTGGGTTTTCATTCCGGGCCAAACCAAAATCCGCACGAAATCCACTTCGAAATCCGGAACGAAATTCTGCAGTGCACCCCGGGCCCACCCGATCGTTTCCCGAACGAACTCCGCTCTGCGACGTTGGCGCCACGGCTCTGAAACTGACGCGTGCAAACTACAACGGGGCCGCCGTGAAGCGGCGGCAGACCCGAGCCCCGGCACACCCGAGTCTTCTCGCTCCTGCTTCCGCAGGCCTTCCGCCCGCGGAGCCACCAGCGTTCCCTCCCGCCGCTTTCCGCAAGCCATCAGCCGGACTCCGCCCATGGGCGAGGATGCGCCGAGAGCGGGCCCCTTTTCTGGAAAACTTTTCGTCAGCAGCGAGGCGGCGAACTCCGCTCCAGCGAGAAGCTAGAAAGGGGCACTAAGTAGCGAATTGGCCAGGGGGCAAAGAGAGGGGGGGCGGCCGAGAGGAAGAAGGGACGCTCAGACGTCGGAGAGTTCGCCGATGAGCAGCCGGGGGGGGCAGTAGCAGCCAGGCGCGAAGGGCCAGAGCGCGGTGGGTTCCATTTCTGGAACACCCCTTCGCAACAACTCCAGGTGAAACAGACTCTGGGTTTCTTAATAAGCGTGGGGGGGTACCCCCCCGACGGGGGTCAACCTCGCCTCGTCGTCGCGCCGCGACGGGAGTCGGAGCGCCTTCGGCGCGCGGTGGCTGCCCGCGACGGGGGTCCATGTGGGACTGTCGGCGGGGGTGGCGCCCCCCCGACGCATATTAAGAAACTCGGAGTACGCTCCTCTCTCCTACAGCTATGACCTGTAAGTGTGACGCCCTCTGCGCGCACTGTCTTTTGCATCTGTACAAAAAGATTAAACTTGTGTGTCCTTCCTGCGTTCGTTCCCAATGGGAATCTCGGTGCTTCAAGATGGCGGTCTCCCTGCAGCCTGGGCCTCATTTAGGATCGGCACTTTGTTCCCGTCGCTTCTGGATCCGAATCCTTCCTCATCGCTGTCGTCCCCTCCCCAATCTTCCCGTGGTCATCCTGCTCCTTCCACTCTTCGCACTCTTGCTCCTGCTGCTGCTGTTCCTCCTCGTCTCCCTCCTTCCTCATCCTCCTGTTCCTCCTGCTCATCCTCCTGCGTACCCGCCACGCCTCGTCCAGTATAATGCACCCAGCCCTTCTTCTTCCGATCGCGCATGCCAGGATGGGCCCTTTTGGCGGCTCCAGGTCCGTGATGGCCACCCATCGGCGGAAAGAGCACACACCAGCGCATCGGGAAGAGATGGCTGGGAGGAGTAGGATGTCAGATGTGGCGCGAGCGCACCACGCTTGTCCCTCTCTCTCTCTCTCTCTCTCTCTCTCATCTCTCTGTCTCTCTCCCTCCTCTCTCTTCCCCTCTCTCTCTCTCTCTCTCTCTCTCTCTCTCCCTTTCTCTCTCCCTCCTCTCTCTCCCCCCGCCCGCCCCGACAAGGGCAGGCGGCCCGCAGATCGCCCATCCCCCCCCCCGTGGGCGGCGCCGCTTCATGGGAGGGCGGCAAAAAAAGGGGCGGGGGGAGGGGGAACACAAGCGCACTTCTCGGGCCCCGAGCGGCCCCCTTCTGTGGGCCCCCCCCACGGTGCACCCTCGGGGGCCCCGGAGGCCGCCTCTTCTCTGCGGCCCTCGCCGCCCCCCCCCCCCCCCCCCCCCCCCCCCCCATGCATCGCACGACGATGGACCGCCCCCCCCAGCACGCGACGCCCCGCCCCCCCTGAAGGGGCCCTGGGACACACAAAGAACTACACACAAATAAAAAGATTCCCCATATTTTCCCATATTTTCTGGGCTTTTGTCTTCCCCAACACACTTCCCTGTTCTGGGGAGTCGACGATGAATTGTGTCTGTGTGTTTCCTTTCCCCCCCCCCGCCCCGCCTGCGTTCCAGGAGAAGTCCTGGGACTGCGCCATCCCCTGGCGGCCGAACCTCGGGCCCCCCCCCCCCCCCCCGAGGGCGCGGGCCTCCCGCCCGGCAGCTCTTGCCGCGCAGGCGGCCCCCCGCGGGAGGCCCGCGGCGTGTTTGCCGACGGAGCGGCGGGAGCCGCAAGCCCTCCTCCCTCCTCCCTCCTCCTCCTCCTCCCTCCTCCCTCCTCCTCCTCCCCCTCCTCCTCCCCCTTCTCCTCCTCCTCCTCCTCCTCCTCCCTCCTCCTCCTCCTCCTTCTCCTCCTCCTCCTCCTCCTCCTCCTCCTCCTCCTCCTCCTCCTCCTCCTTGCCCCTCGGTGCGCCTGCGCTTCCCAGGACGAGGCCGGGAGGAGGGCAAATCCGGGGGAGGACACCTCGGGACTCGCCGAGAGCCGGCGGCTCTGGAGGATGCCTCGGGCGCCGCGGCCACCTCAGGGCGCTCCGGAGCGCTCTGCAAGCGTGCCAGGACGCTCTTGAAAGGATTCGTCCTCGTCCCAGCCCCATCCGATTTTCCGGAGACCTTGGCTACAGTCAGTGTTGTTTTGTTTTTTTCGGACACCCCACAGAAGCGAGCTCGAGTTGCGTTCGTCCCGACGGCTCACCTTGCCTACAGTCAGTCAACCCGTATGAGAAGGATGCGCGGCAAGGATGCAAGGGCCTTGGAGGGCCATGTTGACGTGTTTTTGCTGGACGGTTGGCCAGGAGGAATGAGGCCAAGGATGGGCCGAAGGGGCAAGGATGACAGGGTAGTCTTGGATCAGTGCTCGTCCTTACTATGCGGGAGGACTGTAAACGACTCGCCGGTCCCCGGGAAGAGGTCGAGACCCCCAGGGGCCCACGTGGCGGAACAACTGCGCCGCCGGAGGAGAGGGCCGGCCGGCAAAAGGGCGCAGCCGAGTGGGCTCAAGCGCCAAATGGGCCCAGAGGGAGGCCATGGTCGCAGGAAGGGACAGGGCGCCTGCATTGGGAGCCCCCACGCCTATTACTCCTTCCTCCTCCCGCCTCCCTCCTTCCGCCAGCACGGTGTCCCCTTCTTCGCCTCCCTCCTCCCTCCCCACATGATCACTCAGCATTGAGTCGGGAAATCGGTCCGAAGCGAGATGTTCGCCGGATCGGGTTGCGTCGGCACGGAGTCGATATCGAATCGAATCGGCTGCGGCAGGATGCAGGTCTGGGAAGTATCGGGCCGCATCGCATCGCGGCAACATCGCAACCGGACCACATCAAGCCGTGCGAAGTCGGTGTCGAATCGGTCTGGCCGGCTCGAAATGGGCCAGGCCTCGTCCCTCTGTCCCTGGCCCTCGCCCGTGCTCGGGGGGAGATGGAAGGGAACCGATACCGCTGCCGCTGTTCCCCAGTCCTCCTCCTCCTCCTCCTCCTCCTCCTTCTCCTTCTCCTCCTCCTGCTCTTTGACGTTGACCAGACATGAAGAACGAGCTTGTTGCGTCGAACTTCCTCCTCCTCCTGTCCTCTCCCTGGGAGCGTTCTGACCTGGAGTTCGAAATGATCCCAGCCGTGGCCATGAGTTGCGGGTACGGGTGGCGGCAAATGCTGTCAATGTTCTTTCTCTGGTTCCTCATCCTCCACCTCATCCTCCTCTCTCCTCGCCAACCTCCCTCCTCCTGCTCCCCCCCCCTCATTCATTAACCACCTCCTCCCTACTCTTTCCTCTTCCTCGTGTTCCTCCCTCCTCATGATCTTCCCCACCTCCTACTCCTCCATCCTCCTCTTCCTCCTCCTCATCCTCCTCCTTCTCCTCCTTCTCGTCCTCCTCCTCCTCCTCCTTCTCCCTCCTCCTCTTCCTCCTCCTCCCTCCTGATCCTCCTTCTCATCCCTCCTCCTCCTCCCTCCCTCCCTCCCTCCCTCCCTCCCTCCTCCTCTCCTCTCCTCCCTCCTCTCTCCTCCTCCTCCTCCTGCTGCTGTCTCCTCCTCCTCCTCCTCCTCCTCCTCCTCCTCCTCCTCCTCCTCCATTCCTTATCCTTGTAAAGACCTCCTCCATGTCGCACCCCGAGGCCGGTCGAAAGAGCGGCTGGGCGTTTCGCCTGAGACATCCTCACCATTGGTAACCCTGAGGCTCTAACATTGGCGACAGTTTCACACATGGAGGGCGGGTGGTTTTCAAAATGTGACTCTCGCCTAAGTGCCGCGCAGATTCGTTTTCAACATGTGCAAAAGCTTCACGGATTGAGGGCGGGCAGCTTTCGAAATACGTATGGCTCTCGCCTTAGCGCCGCGCGCATGCGTCGCAAAACATTGCAAGAATTTCACAGATCGAGGGCTGGCCGTTTTCAAAATGTGGCTCTCGCCTGAGCGCCGCGCACATTCGTTTCATCAATTTGCAATTGTTTCACGGATTGAGGGCGGTTCCTTTTCACAATGTGGTTCTCGCCTAAGCGCCGCGCGCAGTCGTCTCAAGCTTCGTTTCACAGATTCCCATGGTCAACGTGACAGAAATGATGCTTTGGAAGGACTCCGGATCATGAGGGCGCGACGATTCCATTGATTCGCGGTGTTGAAGTTCGAACAATGGCGTTCTGGCACGATCCTGGATCGTCAAGACGCAACAGACATGTTGATTCGTGGCGTTGGAATACGGAGAATCGTGTTTTGGTACGCGTCAGGATCTTCAAACAGTTGTCTCCCAACGAGACAATCCCTCAGTGGAAATGAAACCCTGTAGGGCACTATGAAGGGGGAGCTTGGGGGGAGGGTTCGTTCCAACATCGTTAATGAATCTTGGGTGTGATGGTCCTCCTCCTCCTCCTCCTCCTCGTCCCTGCTCCTCCCTGCTCCTTCCTGTTCCTTCTCCTCCTCCTCCTCCTCCTCCTCCTCCTCCTCCTCCTCCTCCTCCTCCTACGTCCTCCTCCTCCTCGTTGCTCCTCGCTCCTCCCAAGCTCCTTCCTCCTTCCACCTTCCAGACGGCTGAGCGCGGAGCATCCGCTCAGGGCGCCTGGCGCGCGCCTGCGCGCGCGCTCCGCTGTACACGGGCGGCCCGAGCGGTTTGACTGGCCGGCCTCGAAGGCTGCGCGAGGGGGAGCGGCGACGGACGCATGAATGGATGGATCGATGAAACGCTGGGGGGCCGTGCGTCTCGGTGTCGTGGCGTTCGAGAGCAAAGTACGCTGCCCGCCTGTACATGGAGGGCCCCCTGCGCGACTGTGGAAGAAGGGGCGAGGTGCCAGAAGTAGTTGCCACAGCCCAGTCCGCCAGCGTGAGAGATGGAGGGTCGAGATCCGAGGTTAGATGTTCGAGCGTCGAGGCTTTTGGCACGCTCTTGGGCCCCCTGCCGGAACGCTCTCGTCCCCCACATTCTGCCAGAATGCATGACCAACACATGTCTAGGGGCGTATGTTCTCCCTTCCCCAGGCGACCAAATAGTCACCGTCCGATCGTGGCGTCGCTAAAAAGACACGCGACAGATGGTTACTCAGCGCGTTAAGCCTCTGAGGACTGCCTTCTGGCCCCAGGCCGTCCAAAAACTACTCCAGATGAAGGCTCTGTCCAAGGGGAATGGGGTCGAGATCGCCCGGGGCACGTAACAAATCAGATGCGGTACCGGAGGGGAGGGGAGAAGGAGACAGAGAAGAAGGTAGGGAAGAGGAGAAGAGGACAAGCATGATGAGAAGGATAGATCTAGGAGGAAAGTTCGTTCTCGCCTTCATTATCCTCCTCTTCCTCATTTTCCTCCTCCTTCGCCTCCTCATCCCTCCGCCCCCCCCTCATTGTACTCATTATCCTGATGTTTCTGATCCACTCTCTCCCACTTCCTTCTCGTATTCGCCTTCCTCCTCCTCCTCCCCCTCCTCCTCCTCCTCCTCCTCTCCTCCTCCTCCTCCTCCTCCTCTCCTCCTCCTCCTCTCATCATCATCCTCCTCATCATCATCATCAGCATCATCAATCATCATCCCCTCCTCCTCATCCTCCTCTCCGCTTCCTCCTCCTCCTCCCTACTCCCTCCTCCCCTCCTCCTCCCCCCTCCCTCCTCCCTCCTTCCTCCTCCCTCCTCCTTCCTCCTCCTTCCTCCTCCCTCCCTGCCTCCTCCTTTCCTCCTCCCTCTGCCTCATCCCTCCTCCCCCACCTCCTCCTCCTCCTTCCCCTCCTCTCCTCCTCCTCCCTCCTCCTCTCTCCTCCACTCTCCTCCTCCTCCTTCTCCTCCTCCTCATCCTTTTCCTCCTCCTCCTCGCACACCTCCTCTTTGATCCATAGAACCACACAAGCTCTGTGGGCGTGAGAGCTCGCTCTGCTGACCCCCGTCTTCCCCTTCGGGGAGGGGGGTCCGCCTCCCCCGTATCATCTCCCTCTGGGTCTGGAGAGGGGAGTTTCGCGACGTGTTGGAACGTCCAAGAATGTCCCACATAGCCCAAGATGGCCTCCAAGAGCGCCCAAGATGGTTCCATCCAGCATGCCTCCAAGAGCCCTCAAGACCGCCCCCAAGACGGCTCCAAGTGTTCCCCGAGCCTCCCAAGGAGGCCCCGGGAGCCAAAATCCGTATCAAAACCACAGTGGCTTCAATGTTGCCTGCCGTCTCGCCTTTTCGCTTCCGATCGGCTTTGGAGGCCTGAGGGTGGCTCCACGCTGGGAAAAGAAAGCTCTCAGAGGGGCTAAAGAGGGCCCCAAGACGACCCCCAACGAGCCTAAGAGCGTCCCAAGAGCGCCCCAAGAGAGCTCCAAACAGATCACACTCAACTGTACCCAGTGTCCCGGCGTTCTAGGTCGGAGGAATCCCAGGCGTGTACCACGTCAAGCAAATAGACTGCAGCCCTCTTGCCGAATACGCTCCTCTGGCTGGTCTCCACAAAGCCTCCCTCTATCAGAGGATGTTGTTGCGTCAGGGCCCCACGGCTCGTTGTTTGGCAACAGGTGGTTGACCTGATCTCTGAATGTCGGCACGCCTGCGTTGCATTCCTCCTCATTCATGGGAGATCGTGAAACTCAAACCACGCCCGCGCTTTGTGCTCGAGTCGGCTCTAGTCTCCGCCGGGAAGCCTCGGAGACACCGGCAAATGGACCCTGGCCCCGTGGGAGGCCAGAGACTCCTCAGAGGCGCTCTTGGACTCGGGCGCAAGGGGGGAATGCGCTGGAGACCCTTGAACTGTCCAGGACTGGTGTGGGTGGTGCGGGTGTAGGCAGGCTTGGAGTGCAGTGGTTCCTTGTGGCTCTTATTCGTGGAGTGCGTGGGGGCAAGATTGGGGTTCCGCAGGGAGCGCCTTGGGGGCTCTTGGCATCCTCTTGGAGAATCCTTGGGGGTGGGGGGCTCTGGGGGGACTCTTGGGATCTCTTGGGCCATATTGGCGCACCATGCTGCTAATTATTCGGGGCTCCCTCGCCCCGTCTTGGACCTCTCTTGAGCCGCCTTGGGGCCCTTTTGGCTCTATCCGCAGGCCCTCTTGGCCGTCTTAGGGGTCCTCATCCGGCGTTCTGGGTAATTACGTCAAGGGGCTTTCCGTGGGGCGCTGTGTGGGCGTCACACGAAGCCTTCTGAAGCGCTGCCCCCCGCCCCCAAAAACACGAATGACAAGCACACTGAATCACTTCAGGTGTTTGCCCGATCTTGGGTGTCTTGGGTCATCCTGGGCCGTCCAGACGACTTCGGGGCGGCATCGGAAACTTGTAATGCCGACATAGCCCCCCAAAGCTCCGAAAACGAGTCCCATACACCCCAGGGACAGACTGGGCAACCAGAAGCGGAGGGAGAGACAGAACGTAAAAGCACAAGGTCGGAGGATGGCCAGTTGAGACACAGGCGGCTCTCCCGCCCAACCCAAGTACGCTCTAAATCGGTCCAGAGGGCGGGACCGAAGGCCCGAGAAGAGAACAAATGCCCAGACTGAAAAGAAGGATAATGCCGGAGATCTAAGAACGCAGGAAAACAGAGCGCGAGAGAGAGAGAGAGAGAGAAAGAGACAGCAAGCAGAAGCTCCAAGGCCAGACGAAAGCAGACTCGAGGCAAGGTCGGACCGACCTAAATCGGAAATCTGCGAGATCCGGCGGGTTTGGAGGACGCACCGGGCGCCGCGGCTGCTCTGCAGCGCTCCGGAACGCTCTCAGAGCGTTCCGGAACGCTCTGGAACGGTGAACGCCTTGTCGTCATCCTAGCTGCCGAATCTCTTCCCCCTTCGACTACCGCCGCGTCCTTTTCCGAACGCGTGAGCGACCAAACGGTTGCCGATCGTGGAAGCGCGACGGCGCTGCCCGCAGATGCTCGAATGAGGCGACAGGTGACCTCGGTTCTAGGCCGGTCCGAAAGTGCGGGGGGGGGGGGCGTGGGGGGGGGGCCAGACGAGAGGTGGGAGGCGGCACGGCGGCAGGGAAGGGCAGCCGAGGACGGGCGGCGGGAGCGACGAGGACGCGCCACTCTGCAGGCAGCCGCGGCCTCCACGAGTCGTGGCGTCTGCTGGGGCATCGCGTGGAAGACCGGAAGCGGCGGCCGGCCCAGGGGTGCGGTGAGGGGGGGGCGGGCCTCCTCGAGAGGCTCGGAAGTCCCCTGGCCTTCTGAGAAGTCTTCGAGGCCTCCCCCGAGGGCACAGATAGCTTCTCGGAAGGTCCTATAGGGCTTCTGAGAAGCTTTCGAGGCCTTCCCCGAGGGCACAGATAGCTTCTCGGAAGGTCCTATAGGGCTTCTGGGAAGCTCCGCCGACTTCTGAGAGGACCTCCTCCTCCTCGGTCCCCTCTCACTCGCCGCCGACAGAGCGGGCCTCACGCTGCATCTTCGGAGGCCTCTTGTCTGTCCCGTCGCGACGTCATCCGCGCCGACTCCGCGTCGCATCTGTGCCGAATCGGCGTCGACTTTCGAACCCATGCGAATCCACAATGAATGCATGCACCATCAGCGCCGAGCCCGCGTCGGATGTCAGAACAGAGTGCCAATTAGTAGAAGACAAACGAATTCTCCGGCAGATGCAACGGGACGGGCCTTGACTCCGACGCGCGTGCACGGCATGCAGAACGCCTCTTCCCTCAATCCCCCCTCAACCTGCCTCCTCGTTTCCCAAACCACGCACCGAATTGGCCGTGGGCGCACCGAAGCCGCACACGCTGGAGAAGTGCCGCCAGGTTCTGCCGTCACTACCGGATCGCCGTCTCGAAGCACTGGATCCAGCTGCTCACGCTCTTCCGTGGGTGGCTGACTCCTGGGGGAACGCCGGCTTCCGTCTATCCTCGCCCCGACCCCTCTGCAGAGAGAGCTGGGCCTCGGGACCCTCGGGGAAGGGCCCTGGGTGCGGCGCATCTCCCATCCCTGGCCCCCTCATCCTCGCCGGGGGCGACAATCATGGCGCGAAGACGAACAAGCACATAGTCCACTCAGCCAGGAGCCGCCATGGGTAGGCCCGCGCTCAGACCAGAGAACATAAAAAACGCACACACGGCGGACGAGTGATGGCTTTTCCTGGGTGGTGGTAACAGCAAACATGGTATCCTCATCCGGCTGGCTCTTGGGTGCGCGCAAGGACACGCAAAAAACGCCTCCGAACGTGGCGCGCCACTGCTTTCTCCCGGAAGCCCCCTCCGTGCCCAGAGTGTAGCTTAGCGCCTATCCCCCGATATCATCACACCCTTGTTCTTGTGCGTTTGAAGGGGCTCCAGGACACACAAATAAATCCGCCGACCCTGTCGGCGTGTGGAAGACGCATCCCGGTGTCGTCGTCTTGCGTGGATCACCGTCGTCGTCGTCGTCGTCGTCGTCGTCGTCTCCGTCGTGTCCTCGTCGTCTCCGTCTCCGTTGTCCCTCGTCGTCTTCGTCGTTCCCCGTCTCCTTGAGCGCGCGAGCCAAAGCGACATTGAGCAACGTCGTAGTTGAGTCGTGGCGAAGCCCCTCCCTACCCTCCCCGCCGGGGGGGGGGGTGGGGGGGGGGGGTCGCCGGGGGGGGTCCCGGGGGGGGGTCGCCACCCAGATACGCATCCTCCCCGGGGGGTCCCGGAGCTCAGAAAAGCTTCAAGACGAGCCAAGAGCGACAGAAGACACCCCCAAAAGGATACAAGAGGGCCTCGACTCGACGAACGATGGCCCCAAGACGCCCAAGACGGCCCGAAGACGGCCCAAGAGGCCCTCAAGACGCTCCAAGAGAGCCCCAAGAGCACACCCAAGAGGGCCCCAGGCACCAAAATCGTAAATTTTACATAGGTTTTTGAAGGATTTTGGCCTTCTCGCCTTTTCGGCTTTCCGACACTCCAAGACGGCCCAAGAGGCCCCCAAGAGGCCCCCAAGAGCGCCCCAAGAGGCCTACAAGAGGGCCCCAAGACGGCCCAAGAAGGCCCCAGGACAGCCTAAGAGGCGCCCAAGACGGCCCAATAGGGCCCCAAGACGGGCCCAAGAAACGGCCAAGAGGGGGACGAGGAACCGAGAATTCGAGACTTCCGCCCTAAGAGGCCCCCGGGAAGCCCCAAGAGGCCCCCAAAAGGCCCCAAGAGGCCCCCGAGCGGCGCCAAGACGCCCCCAAGATGCGCCGAAGACGGCCTCCGGAAGCCCCAAGAGGCCCAAAAGAGGCCCCAAGAGGCCCCACAACGGCCCCCAAGAGGCTTCAAGTTGCCTTCCAGACGCCCCCGAGAGGTCAACCACGAGATCCCAACCAACATCCATAAGGCCTCCTCCTCCTCCCCCTTCACCCTTCCTCCTCCTACTCCCTTCCGCCTCCTCCTCCTCCTCCTCCTCCTCCTGCCCCCCCCCCCTCGTGTTGTCTTTCGTCATCTTCAGGGTCGGCGGCAACGGCCGTAAGGCCTTCGCAATACACACAAATAAAAATATTCCCCATAAGTATATTTTCCCATATTTTCCGGGATTTGTCTTCCCGCCCAATTCCCATAGTTTCCCATATTTTCCTGGGGATCGACGATTAACTGTGTCTGTGTGTTTTTTTTCCCTCCTGAGCGTTGCAGGGTGGTGTTCCCATTCTCGATCCGGATGCACGCCATCTCGCCCCCGCCGCCGCCGCCGACAAGCTCCATCACGTCGACTGGTCGTCAATGGTCTGAGCTGGGCCCAGTCTGCCTCCTAGCTCGTGCCTGCGGGCTCGCCTCAGCGCGCGTCCCCGTTGTGCTGACTGATGGGTTGGAGGTCGAACCAATTCTCTCCGCTTTCCTAGTCGGTATCCTCGCCCTGCTCATACTCGATCAGGGCGTCTGCCTCCACGCAAATCTTGCCGTGACTGTTGCTCTTTCTCTCCCCCCTGCCAACGCCCCTGGCTGGATATTCCAGAACCGTCAAGCAGGCGCCAGCGACTGAAGCCAGAGGCTGAGCTGCCCGTAGCCCGAGAGTCGCACTAGACTTCCTCGCGCCAGCCCTCGGCAAGCGACGACGGCCGTCTGCGGTGCCGCACAACAACCCGCCGCCTGCCACGTCCAGCAGTTTTCAACTCTTGCCGAGGGCCCGTCGGGTCCCCCTGGACCGCGGCGAACTCGGCCTGCAGCTGCAGCCGGCACATACGAAGACAGGATCGGACAAGAACGGGAAGCGCCGATGTTGCCCATTGGGGTCGTAAGGATGGTGGCGACGACAAGGCGGCGGTTGACGAGGATGTCAGCGTGAATGACGGGGAGTGCAGCGATGGAATCAGGAGAACAACGAGTAGGAAGACAAGCGCGAGGACGAGGAGGAAGAGATGGAGGAGAACGCGTACGAGGAGGAATGAAGCGGAGGAGGAGGAGGAGGAGGAGAAGGAGAAGAACAATGACTACGACGACGACGACGAAGGAGGACGGTAAGGAGCCCGAGGGGGGGTCCTCGTGATCTTTCGAGGCTACCCTGGGGGCTCCTGGGGCCATCTGGTGCTATCTTGGGGTATCCCGGGGGCCTCTTGAGGCCTGCCGGGGTCCCTTGTGATCTGCTGGGTCTTCTTGGGCTGTCTGGGCGTGTCTTAGGGTTCTGTTGGGGGGCTCTCTCAGGCCGCCTTGGCGACATCTTGGGTTCTTGGCCGTCTGGGGGCCTGCTCGGGCTCGCTTGGCGGGCCTCTTGGGACCCTCTCTGTATGTCCTCTGGGGGGCCTTCTGCGGCTCCTTTGGGCCACGGTGGGCCCTCCAGAAGCTAATCCGAGACTCTGTTCATTCGGAGCCCCCCCGAAGCCATTTGCCTGAAGATGTACCCAGCGAAACGGCCATGTGCCAGAAATCCGCCACACCCGCCACCGTGCCTCTGGCACGAAGTGGAGTGCCCCGAGGCTCAGACTGTGCTGCTGCGACTGCTGCTGCAGCCAGGACTGCAGGCGCGCGGAACTCCGAAGTCCTGGGCAGTCCCGGGGTCTTCCAGGATCGAAGGGTCTACCAAGCTTTAGGTCGGGCATGTCCCCCTACAGGCGGATTTTGGGCGAAAGATGTAAAGATATTCCAGAAGTACCCGGCAATGGTAAAACAATACTCAAAAAATCGTCCGCGTACTACTTTTGACTACTTTGGGATTGTCCTCCTGTAGAGGGACGTGCCCGACTTACACCACGCTTTCGCCCGTGAGTTCCGAGGTGTTTCCTGCGGGTCCAGCGGAGGCTGCGCCCGCCCAGAAAGACCTCCCGAACCCGCCGACGTGTCCAAGAGGGCCCCGATGCGCCGAAGCATCGCTTCGAGACGCCCAAGATGGCTTTCAGACGGCCCAAGAGGCTTCCAAAACGGCCCTAGACGCCTCCCAGGATGGCCTCAAGATGGCTCGAAGAGGCCACATGACAGCTCCGAGGGCCCCAAGAAGAGCTTCCGGAGGGCCCCCGGAAGCAAGAGCCAACTCGGTTTTCACTGGATTGTTGGATTCTCACGTTTCTGGGCTGCCGTCCGCTCAAGACGGCCCAGGAAACCTCCAGGGCCGCCGCAAGAGGGCCCGCCACCTCGCGCCCACATGCGTGCACCATCCCACCTGCTGGGGGTCCCTGGACGGCCATGGTGCCAGCCTGAAGCTCTCCAAGGCTTCCATGAAGGCCAAGGACAGTCGCAAAGGCCGCTAAGATGGACGAAGAAGCCTCCAAGATTGTTTGTTCAAGATGGCTCCAAGAAGGTCCAAGATAGACCCACGACGGCCCGTGATAGCCTTATCTGGCGGACAGAGGCCCCAATGGCAGCTCAAGAGGGCTTCAACAGGAGGCTCGGGAGGGCCCAGAAAAGGCAAATACACAGTGTTGTCCATGGTTTTTGTCATCGGCTTTTTGATTCCCATGTCTCGAAGATTCCGTCAGCCGAACACGGCCCAGGAGGCCTGCGATATCACCGCAAGAAGGCTGGGCTGCGGCATGGCGGCGGGACCTGCCGCAGGCGGCTGGATAGGGAACCGACGCCCCTCCTTGGCACCCAAGAGCGCCTGGGTGCACGAGGAGAGCCAGCGGAAGCAGCACGGACTGACCCCAGGAACAGCGAGCCCCCTCCGAACCCAAGGCGGCCCTCGCTTCAGCGTCCTCCTCCTCCTCCTCCTCCTCCTCCTCCTCCTCCTCCTTCTCCTCCCTGCTGTCTTCCGCTTCCTCGCCCCGGGCGCCAGCACGCCCGCGAGGCCAGCGGCGCAGGGCCCCGCAGGCGCGCCGCGGAGAGAGGGGGCCCCGGCAGTAGCGCGCCGCCGGCCAGTCGCGCCCGCGTGGCAGCGCGGGAGAGGGGGAAGGGGGAGAAAGGAAGGCAGCCGCGGGGGGGGGCTCCCACGACTGCCTTGGGGTCGACGACAGAGTTTTCCTCGACCCGCATCATTTTCCTCGACCCTCATTCGTCGGGCTGTCGTTATGAGCAGGGCGCCGCCTTACCTGCAAGCCCGTTCTTCCTGCCTCTCTCCGTCCTACCATTTTGTTTGATGTTACTGGTTTTCATATTCCTGTCTTTCATTCCGTGTGCCCCCCCCCCGCCCCCATCCCCCCCGCAATTACTCAATATGAATACTACTCTCCCTCTTCCCCTGATGACGTCTTGCAAGATGGGGGTGTTCGCCCCACCCCCCGGGTACTGTTTTTTACCACACACAGGTTTCCCCGGAGTTAGGTTTTCGCCTGCATTTTGTCCAAAATGCTGCTCTCGCTGAGCCGCCAGCCTCATTTTCGGGCCCCGCTCGTTCCGAATCGGGCTCCCGCTGCAGCGCTGGCATCATTCCCGCCGGCGCCTGGGCTGCACGCCCGAGCCGGCGCCCGGGCCGGCGCTCGGGCCGCCGGGTCCGGAACCGGTTCCGGCCGCCCCCGGAAAATGGAGTTCCGAGGCGGCGCCGAAAAAAGGTCATTCTAATACACATTTTTCTTTTGAACATGCTCAATTTCTGCTTCCGGCGCCCCTGGGCCGATTCCGACGCCCAGGCCGGCGCCGGAGCCGGCGCCCGGGCTGGACGCCCGAGCCGGCCGGCGCCCGGGCCGGGTCCGGAGCCGGTTCCGGCCGGCGCCCGGGCCATCGAGTTCCAAGGCGGCGCCGAAAAAAGGCCATTCTAATACACATCTTTCTTTCGAAAATGCTCAATTTCTGCTTCCGGCGCCCGGGAGGCCTCCCGGGCCGATTCCGACGCCCAGGCCGGCGCCCGAGCCAGCGCCCGGGCTGGACGCCCGAGCCGGCGCCGGTCCGGCCGGCGCCGGAAAATCGATCGAGTTCCGAGGCGGCGCCGAAAAAAGGCCATTCCAATACACATTTTTCTTTTGAAAATGCTGAATTTCTGCTTCTGCAGTGGCGCCCGGGAAGCCTCCTGGGCCGATTCTGGCGTGCTTCCGCTCGTTCCGAATCGTGTTCCCGCTGCAGCGCTGCCCTCATTTCCGCGCTTCCGCTCGTTTCGACTCGTGCTCCCGCTGCAGCACTGGCGTCATTTCCCGTGCCATACCACGGCATGCAATGCAATGCTAGGTTGATACTACGCTTCGCGGTGCTCTTCTACGCCACGCCATGCCGTGCTCTACAATGCATCGCGTACCCTTTCGGGATCATTGCCCTGCTCGACATCCGACTGTGCGAGAGTAGAGATGGGATCTGCGCCATGGTAAGGGATGGGAGGGAGGGGTAGGATGTCAGATATGACGCGAGCGCACCTAGCTTGTCTCCCCCCCTCCGCCAGATCCTGCCTCATACCCCCTCCCCGCCTTCGGGACGCTGGAACAAATGCTGCCAACTGCGCAGTGTTCGCTGCCGTGGGCTCCTGCAAGGTCCAGCGGAGCGCGGCCCCCCTGCTTGGCTTCAGACGAGACTTCCCCTTCCCTGGGTGCTGCCAACTGTACTCAGCGCCCCTCAAACGGGACTCCACTAACGGGTACTTTGGCCAGTGACCCAGCGAACCCAGCCCTTCCCGATGTGGGCAAAGCTGCAATGCAAGAAAAAGGCCCTAAAGTGGCAACTTTCGGCAAAAAATCAAAGTACCCGTTAGTAAGTACCCGGTACGGTGCCGTTGATGTACAACTGTTGCCACTTCCGTGGGCTCCTGAGAACTCCGGGGGAGTGCGGCCCCAGAGGGGTTAGAACGAGACCTCGCCCTCCCTGCATGCTGCCAGCTGCGCAACTGCCGCCACGCTCGATCCCTCGACGCCTCGATCCCAGGAGCCCTCGGTTACTCGAGCCTTCGATCCGTCGTCGACCTCTCTAATCCTCGGTTTCTCGTGCTCTCGACCCTTCCATGCCTCAAGCCCTCGATTCTAAGGCCCTCCGTCTTTCGACCCCTTGAACCCTTGAACCTTCGATCCTTCGAGCCGTCGATCTCTCGATCATTCGATCCCTCGGTACCTCGAGCCTTCGACCCCTCGCTCCCCCGAGGCCTGGGCATGCCTTCCGACAGAGATTGCGCCAGAGATCCGACGCTCTCGGTCATCTTCGTTCGTTGAGGCTGGCCCCGTGGATCACTGGCCCCGCGGCACGTCCATGGGTAGATCGTGTTCTTGCCATGTCATGGTCTCCAACGAGGTTCCCTGGGACCTCAGACGTGCTTCCGCGGGCCCCCAGAGCCAAGACCTCCAGGGCCCAGGGGCCCCGGGAACTCCCGCGAGCCGGGGAGGAGGGAGACACGGAGACCCTCCCCCTCCCCCATCCCCTCCCCCTTCTCCTCCTCCTCCCCCTTCCCCTCCCCCTCCTCCTCCTCCTCCTCCTCCTCCTCCTCCTCCTCCTCCTCCTCCTCCTCCTCCTCCTCCTCCTCCTCCTCCTCCTCCTCCTCCTGGTGTTGTAAGGCGGAGGGCAGGCGGAGTTGGATGAGGGGCGGTCCCTATCCGCCCTGCGTCACCGCGTCGCGTGTACCGGCGGCCAGGCCGGAGTGGACCCTGCACGATCGCACGCTGCCCTGGACTGCGCCCGCTGGCGCAGCCGACGCGCAGAAAAAAACAAAAACAAACAAAAAAACATCGACCCGCGCGCCCTGTCACACGGGGCACCGCGCGCCGCCACGAGAACAAGCGCACGAGTATAGTAAGGATGCAAATGATGATCAAGATGGTTATGAGGATGGTGATGGTTATGATGGTGAGGATGATGATTACGAGAAAGGTGACGATAATGAGCATGAAGAAGCGGATCGTGATGGTGCGGATGGTGATGCTGATGATGGTGATGGTGATGCTTATGATAAGGATGAGGATGCTGGTGATGATGATGATGGTGATGATGAAGATGATGATGATGATGATGATGATGATGATGATGATGATGATGATGATGATGATGATGATGATTGTAATGAGGGCGCGGT